CTATTTCTGGCAGTCTGCAAAGGCCCTAAGACTCCTAGATCCTTTTCAGTTGTACTGCTGTCAAGCCAGGCGTCACCCATCCTATATCTGTGCATTTCATGTTTTTCACATTCCCCACGAATGTGGATCAATGCAAGGTTGACAACCCATCATGCAATTGTAATGCACAATGCATTGGGGCAATGCTGCTCAACACACTACCACTTCTGCAATGATCCTCCCCAGGTAACTCCACTTACCCCACTTCAGCTCGATATGACCTGTTGTGCACTGCCCCCCAATCACTCTGCATGTGTAGTGCAACTCAGAAATATGTGTGCCACCAACAGGATGCCAGTCAGCAGACGGATGGTGTATCACAACCACCACTTTTCTACATGAATGTAGATTAACACAAGGCAAACATGATGCATGATCTTTCTCTCAGTTGTGCAAACCAAACAATAAAGAAGTGTTTGAACTTCTTGATGATTTAAACAAACAAATGTTTAAATTTGGAAGGCTCAAGGTGAAAAAAGACGGGATGCCCACTGGAGATATGTAGGGCTTGTGAAGAAAGCTGATAGGAAGAGAATCAACTCATTTGAAATGTGGCACTGGAGAAGAGTTCTGTGGATACCATCCAAACTGCCCAAAAGACAAATAAATGGGTCCAGTAGCAAATCCAGCCTGAACTGTCCGTAGAAGCCAAGATACTAGGCTGAGGCTGTCATATCGTGAGAGGACATATGAAATGGCATGAATCACTGTTGTTGTTGCTGTCTGCCTTCAAGTCATTTCTGACATATGGCGACTCTATAGTGGGTTTTCTTGGCAAGATTTGTTCAGAGGAGGTTTGCCATTGCCATCCCCTGAGGCTGAGAGCGTGTGACTTGCCAAAGGACACCCAGTGGGCTTTATGGTGGTGCAGGGAACCTCACCCAGTTCTCCAGAGTCATAGTCCAACACTCAAATCCCTACACCACAGTGGCTCTGAGCAGACAATAATGCTTAGTAAGGCAGAGAACAGCATGGAGTTGCATCTTGAATTTTTGACTAGGGACTTTATCACACCAGCCTGCTGTTCCACCACTGTTGCACA